ATATTTGTGATGACTGACAGCTGTTGAATTCTGTTTGGGACTCATCAGCAGTGCTTGTGTGTGTGTGTGTGTCCCTATCAGGACTTGAACCTTCGCGAACGTTCGTATTGGGAATGCGAGCTACACGGTCCAAACATGACAGTCTAAACAGGATGAAGCGAACTTTACTACCCACAGCCAAACGCCCAGTTTATGCAAGTCAAGTACGATTGTGTAGGGTGAATGGAGAGTGGACTTGTTTTGATAAAAAGATACAACAAGAAATGAAAATCTATTGATACACAAAATTTTGCGTCTAATAATAACCGATGTGTTGAAGTTTTGAGTGCAGAAAAATATTTTTCTTTTTAATTAGCCAGCAGGATACGGTATGCACCACAACATCGAATGTAGTTGAATCAGCTGTTTACGATTTTCACAAATGTTATCAGACCATCATTTTGTGTGTCCTGTTTCAGATTATACTCTAACCATTGCTATCTTGCATTTCAGTGTGCACGTGCTACCCAATTGACTGCAGGACGTCCCAGCAATCGATGATCCACTCAGTGAAGACTGCAATCTTTGCTCTAGGTCCCACCGGAAATTCTATCGAACAAACCACCCTCTTCACTGTCAACTTAGCAAATGGGTCTTCATCTCTCCACTATAAAATACTGTTGCTCCTCTATTGTGTCATATTCCGCTCGTTCTCTCATCTACTCTGAACAACCTGCAGTCCAACTAGGAACTGCTCTGCATTCAGTGTGGGTGTGGTTAGGTGTTTGGCGGTCTGCTTTGACAGGTTTCAGTGAACTATTCATAAACACCTCATTCATTCGTTTTGGAACGAGTATGTGGCAATTGAACACCCACACTTTGGGATGCGCTTGGAAAAAAAAATCCGCGATTATAGAATCTAAACTTGGTACACTAAAAACATATCTACACACACATATATGCATTGGCTGACAACTGATTGCACCATGTCAGTCCAACTTGACAAATTCGACACCCGTTAATTGGTTCACCACAATGAGCGATCAGACAGAAGAAGGAGATTACAGCTCCTGCTTCCTGCCATGTCCACTCCAGTGTTCGGCTTGTGTAAAATTTCAGAATGAATTTGTTTACCAGCGGCACTACTTGCCACTTCCGAATTCGTGAGGGACTTACCGTTTGTATCGGTGTAGTTATCTGAGGTCAACCATCCAAGTGGTCCACCGTTTCGATTTGTGCCGTTCATTTGAGATGTAACTGTCCTACCGGTGGACAACATGTTTCGCTGAGTCGGAGACAAACTGGGCGATCTAGAGTCCCCGGTCACGTTTGAGCTCGGATTGCCGAGAGTCGGACTAGATTGAGACATGGTGCACTCCATCGGGCTTTGGTCACCGTGACGCGTGATCGTGTTCGTACCGGACAGAAGTAGTCCGAATGTGACCGGATGGGATGAGGTCGAAGTAGATCCGGATGATGAAGCGGACGATGGAACCATGTCCGCATCGGGACCGNNNNGTAATTATTGCTGCTATTGTTGTTATTACTGCAACCGCCAACGCCGCCGCCGGTGTTGGTGGTCACACGGGATCCGGTCAAATAGCCAGTTGTGTTTGCATTCAGCAGAGAATCACTGGACACAATTGAGGCCAGACTGGTCGTATAGATCCCGTTCATAATAATTTCAATGAGAGCACTGTTTAGTTTTGATGGAACAACAGAAGCACAGGTCGAACAGTGCGGGGTCGGATTTGAAGAACAGCGTAACTAATGACCGGCTGTGGCTGAGTAGTTGCATATGCTCGTGTGTGTCCCGTCGTGCGCCTGCCTAGCGCCTGACTAGCGAACGAAGGTGAATGTGGGAACAAGTGAGTGAGTGAGCAAACCGGTGATCACTAATATAACCGTCACGCTTACAGCGTTAAAGTCCCCGGATGACTGTGCATGCGATGCGATGCGATGCGATGCGATGTGTGTGAGTGCTGAATTGGTTGAGGGCAACGGCGAGGCAAAAGTGAGAGTGACTGAAAAGCACAAGCAACATGCATCGCACGTGCGGTGGTGGTGATGCACGTCTTTCTCGGCGTTTGTTTGTTTGTGTGTGTGTGTATCTGTTTCTCTGCACCGATCACGAAGTGCAAAATTAATGATAATGGAGAGGATGATTTAATTCAACCAATTAAGTTTAGCATGCGGGCAGCCAGTCAGCCTGGCAGACAGGCAGGCAGGCAGGCAGGCAGACGGGTCAGCGCACGTGTGTACATATTTGCTCGGGCACGCAACGTGCCTGTGTGTGTGTGTGTGTGTATGTTGGGTGATATCAATCCATTAGTAGTACTATAGTGCTTTATTGTTAGTCTGTCTTTTTTGGGTCTGTCCTTCTCACGCTCAAATATGCACGCACGCACACACACGAACGTATCAGCGTGCGTACACGTGTACGAACCCGTCTGTTTGTCCCTCACTCAGAGTTGATTCTGTGTGAGCTACCACACCATCGTGTGGCTGAATGATGAGGATGAAAATGATGGACGGCTTGGAGTAAGCGAGTGACTATATGTGCCTGTGCTTGCAGCCGCGCTCGTTTGGACAGATGCCCTGACAGGCGCGTGCATGGGCTCGGAAAAGACATGAGCAGATGATGACGGTGATGACGATGAGGAGGAGGACGACAATAATGATGATGATAATAATGAACGGATGATAATGTCTATTTGCACACGCCTGGACGCGCGCGGGCGAGCACGCGCACGCGCACGCACACACACACACATACACACACGTACATAGATGCATACACATTCACGCTTGTGGGCACGTTCGCGATCGTAACAGCGAGGGAGAGAGAGATAAGGCTCTTCTCGGTATGACAGGAACCTTTTTGTGCGCTCGTGCGAGTTGCAAGCACTTGATATCGAATGTGTTTTCGTTTTTAATATGCTTGCAAATTTTCACCCCAACCCTCCACCCGAACCTCTCAATTCTACAGGCAAACAAGCACACACACACAGACAAAGTTGGTTTTATTAATTAGTCTCTGAAACTGCATTCCCTATCCCTGTGTGCGTGTCCGCAGTTCCGTTCCATAGATGACGAGCTGAGATCTATGACAAAGGGGATTGCTCATGATCGACAGTGCTCACACTTTCCCTTGCAGAACTGCCAACGTGTATGCGTTAGCGCACTGAAAAAATACACACCTACTCACTGCACTGCACAGCTTTGCGTTCATCATTGCACTGTTGGCATGATTGGGTGACCCCACCAGTGTTGTTACAGCTAGTCGTACGAACCCAGTTCCTATGTTGTTGTCCTATGTTTTACGATTCATCGGATGAGTTCGAACAAGAACGAAGTTGCTGTCCGATACACTCTATAGGTTGTCACACCAACTCACAATGCTGGACAAACAAAATGGATAAATTGTACGGAATAGATAAACTGCCTGTGCGCGAGACTCACAGCAGGATAACAATGCACAGACCTCTGGTGTGTGTGTGTGACTTCATATGGAAGAACACGCGTGTTAGATTTGCGTTTTGAAGATGGTCAAGCTGAATTCGAAGCCGTTTTCTTTGAAACTGTCAACCTTTATCATTAGGGGTGCGATTAAGGACTGGTGTTGGGGGAATAGTACGCATTCATTTTCAACTATCGGTTGTTTGGTCAAAACCCAATAGAACTGCACATTGGCCGTACCACAAAAGACAACCGTACACCGGTGAAAACAACGCCAAAAGAAAACAAACGTGGTTGGTTTTGAGTCTTATTTCAAATTTTATAGAAGGAATTCGTCGTGTATGGAACATATTAATCGTGAACTGAAAACCAAGGAGTCACCATACAGCTGTTTCGACATGGTTAGGTCTCATCAGCAGTGCGAATCCATCGACCCCACCGGGGGTCGAACCCGGAACGTCGCACGCTGAACACCAGCACGCAACCTACTCGGCCATCAGGCAACTGGTCACCATAGATTTCATTTTCCATTTGTATTTGTATTTGTATTTGTAACTTTTGTAAGCATATATGCTTACATTTCAGTTAAAAACGTACATTGTTCGTCACGCAGAATGAAATAAAAATAATCAAAACAAAAGGTAAACAAGGTCGATGATATACGTATCATGTACAAAGCATGGGACGTAGTTCATTTGAGACCTGTTCCTTTTTGGTGAGTAGTCGGGTCAGGCAGGGGAATTTTTATAAATGTTAATGCGAGAGGGTAGCTGTCGAAATGAGGAGCGTGTGGGCGGATGGGAACGACAAGACGATAGATCAGGGTGTAGTGGATGAAGAGGGTCGTCTAGAATCTTGTAAGCAAATTTAAAACAGGAGTTGATGTGACTATCAATGAGATCTGTGATTAATAAATCAATTGGGATTAGTGATGCACGACTGATTATCACCAAACCGCGGCGAATTGTTTTGAAGTCGTGTTTTAAAAGACAGGGAAACACTACAGGAGAGCAATAAACTAGAATGGGTAAAACGCATTGCTGAACGAAAGATGATAGGACTGATTGTGGGGTTCGGAATTGCCTGAGTTTGCGTAACTGAAAAGATAGGCGTCTCAATTTTCCCACACAGTTGTAAATATGTGTAGACCAGAGAAGATTGCTGTCGATGGTTACACCCAGGTACTTCACTGAGGTCATTTTAGATACAGGTTTATCGTTAAGAATAGCAGAGTCCGTTGGAACACTATGAAGCACAACCCATCTTTGCGAACTTGTTGTGGGCACCGCACCTCGCTTATCTCAGTACTGTCTTCTGGGGGTTATGATTCTGTTGGAAACTTTCACAACCTGATTGCTTATTTTGAACGTAATAGGCCTCAGTCATTTTGCAGGATCCGTGTGGAATGCAGCTCCGTACAGCTACGATGCCCTTATGTGTTTCCTACATCATGCTATACATATACTATGCACCATACTACATACCATATACTCTGAAGTTCTCTCACCTCAGAGAACATGGTTACGAAGAGAGAAAATTAATCGATCACTACAGACGGGATTCGATGGACAAGTGGAGTAATTGAACAAGACACATCTCGCATTCATTGTTGGAAGTTGAAATAGTTTTAGTTGTATATATATATATATTTAAATATATATATATATATATATATACACATATATATGTATATATATAATCGCTCGTCATTCAGCTNGAAAAGTTCTCCGGAAATCTATCCAGGACTCATTATGAACACCTAATCCATTCAATCATTCATTCACAATCCTGGTTACTGATTATAGAAACCCATTTCGTGTGATGAAACCAGGCAAGCTGTCTACACTAACAACTTTCACGTGAGATCTCATCATCTCATCACCATCATCATCATTATCCGTACTGATTTACACCAGAAAGATAATGCTCATGATGTATAAATACGTCACTGTTCTTTGAATAGCATCACCTCATTGTTTGCAAGCTGCCAGTGAAGTCGCTCACCGCGATCACACCCATCACGAAGCACACGGTGCAAAAAGTGTGTGTACCGATAATGCACCCGGAGATGAAAAGCTGAGTAGTACTGATCGGTTGTTACGGCTGATGCCTATTGCACCATCCCAGGTGTATGCGGATAGTACTCCGATTGAACCCTCGACAGATGGTGTGCTTTTAATCGCAGGAACCCCGGAGACGCATACGTGTATAGATGGATGGATGGATGAAGGAATGGATGGGTTGCATGAATACCATACCATACCATTGCTTCGGTTCAAGCGGTTCAGCAGAATATGTTCCCGAACGGATCCCGCTATCACGAGACACAGGGACCAAATTGATCCGGTTCACTTGTTGTTCATACCAGAAGAAGCATAAAAACCATAAGTACAACAATCCTGAAGCCTGGCTTATTTTCGAAACGAGTAGAAACCTTCAGAATCGGATGGGGTTTGAGAACCAAGCACGAGAAATTGTTAAAACTATTCTCATCTGTTTTTATAATTTTAAATCCAGTCAACAGATAATCACGGTTAATCCGAATAAATATTTTCACATGAGCTGATGTTTTTTTGATGATAAACTGCCATACCGTACCCATTCATGCAGGGCTGTAACAATGCCCACATCTTTTGTGATCTTATCTCACCGTTGATATTTTTGCCAGAGTTTATAAACTACACCCTCGGAGGCTACGGACTTCGGAGTTCCCGATTAGTTGCTACATTGATATGCCATTGCAAATTTTGTTGCCCCATTTGATTTTTTGACTCAAGAGTTTCCTATTGATTTCCAGAATCATTCAATTTGTATCCACAATGAGTGGTGGTGTCTCACTAGGTTAGCCTTATTGAATTTATCGCAAATAAGCATTTTGAGGCGGTGATCAGGTATCCCATAGACTGTTATCTAATACTGAAAATTATGTACACAGAGACACTCACGCGGTATGCAATCGTATCAGTCGAGCACAATTCAAATTTTCGGGTACACTTGGTCACGGGGAAAAAAAGATTATACCCTCATTTGCCGACATTTTGATGAATTACTTAAATTACGAACAGCTGAAAGGAACACCAATGGGGTCACCAATTTCCAGATTCACAGCTCGAAATCATAATATAGAAGCTAGAGAACGAGGTACTACCAAGAATCATGCTCCATTAAATTGATAACACATTTTGGTCATCTTGAAGAAGTCGGTACTAGAAAGAACGCACAATATCATCAATAACACATTCAATGGCATCAAGTTCACCATGGAGACAGAGAAGGATAAACAACTGGCCTTTTTGGACATTTTGATCATCAGAATACCATCAGGAAAACTGTAGACAATGGTCTACCGCAAAGCAACGCAAACAGATCAAATTCTAAACGTCAAAAGTAATCATCCACATAGTCACAAACGATGCTATGTTAGAACCTTGTTCGGAAGAATCCAAACGCACTGCAGCACCGATATACTCAAGAACAAAGAAGAAAGATGCCTCCTCTGAGCATTTGCTCGCAATGATTACACCGGCAACTTCATCAAAAGAACTCTGAGTCAAAGAAAGAAAGAAACAACACACAGAGAATCGGGAACAAGAATCATCCTGCCATACAACAAGGGTGTTTCGGAAATGACGGCAATACTTCTCAGATCACAAACCAACCGCCTGTCTAATGAGACTTCAAAACCAAAAGAGAGAACAATGGAGAAGGATGAGAGCAGTGTTATCTAGAAAATAGGCTACAAGAACTGCCCAATCCACTATATCGGACAAACTGGAAGAAAACTGTCAACATGGAATCGTGAACACCAAGCGGCAGTCAGGAGACGTGACCCACTATTGTTGATTTCCCTCCACGAACATCCAGAAGCACATCAAGTTGACTTCGAATCAGTGAAAATTATCAACCAAACCCGGTCAAAACACGCCAGAGAATTTCCTGAGGCTTGGCACTCCTCAAACAATTCAATGAACAGGCACATCGAACTTGATCACGTGTACACGCTAATGCAAATCAAGGATCAAATGACGCAACAAAAAAGATCACGTCCTGACCTGAGAGCGGATCGAAGCCGCAATCAGGACGGAAGGACAACTCCCTTCCCTCCCACTCTCTCACCCCCTTGCAACAGTTTAACGACGAACAGAGTCGAACACAGTGAGAGCAAGCGATAAAAAAATAGTCAGTGGAGAACACCACATTTATGAATGAACGGGTACACGCAGAACACTGCCACTTCACAAGCACTGCTGATGTCACCTCGGCTGGTTATGAAACATTTGCAAACAAATTGCCAAGCGCGGCGAACAGGCGAAATGAAATTACTCCAGTAATACCGTTATAACAAAAGGATGTCCTATCACAACAAACGCAGTCAGTGTGTGTTGAATCCCACCAATCAGTTATCATTTTATAACCGTGTACCCTTTCACTTCACCGTATTCCGTCAGCCAACTCCGGAGAAATCACTAGTTTTGAGTGTATGTAGATCAACTGACTTGACCGTTTCATGCCCGAAGTTTCACCGAGGCTTTTCCAAATACAGATCACCTATGGTCACTGAAAGTGCAGATTATAAAAAACGAAAACTGTTGTATGCTCTACACGAAAATGTACTATGAGTTTTAATTTTGCTGAAAGGGATTTACCACTGCCCAGACAGTGAGCACATCAGAAAGGGGCGAATTTGGCTGAATGAGGGACAACGCACATGCACGCGTACTGTGGGACTGGTACTGTTCAGAGTGCAACAGTAGCGCAAATACCCAAAATTTTACTACTACTTACTACTACTACTTACTACTACTACTATTTTAGCTGACATAAACGTGTGTGTGTGCACAGCTGCAAACGAAATGGGGGTATGCATTAATTGACCACTGCAAAAGTTTTGACCCTTTTCTTTTCTCTTGATCCATTCTTTAACGAGAGGTGGCAAGCGGCGATGACCTGTTTGTTATGCTGGCACGATCCTGAGAGAGAAACCAAATTGGTTCCGAATTCATTTGGCCTGGTCATTAAATGGATCCGTAAAAGGGTTTCACCGCGACGTGACCTACGGCACAGTTTAAGTGTTTGGTCCGACAGCCTTCAATTCCCTGGAATTTATTCATCTGCTGGGGGAATCGTTCCCGTGCGAAAAGCTTTTCACGTGAACAAAATTTCAGTTTAAAAATAACAGAGTGGTGAACAAGTTCGTTTGCTTGTGTTGTGTTTGCTTGCAATGTGCCATGATAGTACCTTTGGATATTCTCATTTTCTCAAGAACTCTTTTGACCTCTCCGTTCCCCGTTCGACAACCCACCCTGCATGGCTGTCCTGACTAAACTCAATACAGTACACACTGTTCACAATTGAACCGGACTCTGTAAATCATTGTTTCGTATTCATAACTGGGATAAACTTAGCGAACGGGTCGGGTTAGATCGGTGACGCGTATCAACTTTATCAACTCCTGTTAGAGGACATGCGGGTCTGATGAACCACAATGATTCGTGGAGATTTATGTATCATTATTTGAGATTGAGCCACTTGCCTTTGCGTATCCGAATACTGTCAACTGGGCGACCTGGGGTGATAAAGTTGGCCTCGTTTACTGAGGGGCCCGAGTCGCACACATATTTGTGATTTTTTGTTTCAGATAGCTTACTTTCTGACCGAACAGAACAATGTTGTTGTATGTCGTCATTCACGAGTCACAGTCAGGATATTCGTGGAATAATAGAAGGAACTAGTAGGAACAGTAGACGGGCGACGGAATTGCACGAGCAAGCACTGATGCGGAAGTGGTTTAGCGGAATGTACTCTATGAATTTATCGATCGAGTATCGAGGAAAACATCATCCGCACGCGTCTTGTTTGACCGTGATCTGCTGATAATTGTGGCGTCCGTCACTATTATTCAGTTTTAGGATTGCCTGTTCCCGAGATCACGTGCGTTAATCAGGCATCATTATCATAGTTTGTGGTTAACTTGACTGGAAGAGGAATAAGTACAACGCGAATTCCGATTAACGAGGACGACGACGACGACGACGACGACGACGACGACGACGACGAGGAGGAGAAGGATGGGGAGAGGAACGTGATTCGCAAACTGGCATGAGAACGCGCTAAAACGAGGAAGAGAAAGATGACGGAAAGGGGTCATGTTGAACAACATGTGCGATGAATGGAAGAGGGAGAAACATGAAATTAATTGATCGATAAAAAATTGGTCAATTAAGAAACATGAAGAACAACGGAATCGGATAACTAAGGAATGGCTGGTTAGAGGGCCTGGGTCATCCAGAAGAGAATAAACGAGTGAGAGGAAGAGAGAAAAAGAGCGGACGAAAAAAAACGAGTTCCTGTATGCTCATTTGACTGTCACTCTGTCAATTACCAGACACCCAACTTGAGGAGAATTTTTCTTACATATATATATATATATCAGCTCCAATCAGTTTTATTTTCTTCT